ATAAGGTACAGGGTGGTAAAGTAGTAGGTTTGTTAATGTTTGGGCTTATTGTTTAAAAATAAATTTATTATCGGTTAGTACTTATTTGGCTATTAGCTAGCAACATCATGAGCACAAAACAGAAATTAACGACCTTAACTCTACGTGAAAAATTTGACGCATTGATATGCAGTAAAAATAAATATGTGCGTCGAATTTTTATTTAACTATGAAAAATGTACTTAGAAATTGCGTCTTCCTAAATAGAAATTTTAGCAAAATTACAACCTATTTATCTCGAAAATCTTAAGTCGAAAGCGCATTAACTCGAAATTTTTAGCATTTCACTTGAATTTCGAGTTACCGATATTCTGCTGTATCTATAAAGAAAACCTATCTACGTAAACACTACGTGCATATTTAGCTTAATATTTTTATGTAATTAAAAATTTTGTTAGAGTTTTATTCCACATACGAAGTTTTTTATAAACATTTTAATTTATACATAAAACGTTATTTTATAATAATTTTCAACTTTTTGTTTAATTTCTAAAAGATATAAATCAGAAAATCATTAAAGGTTTGGTGGGCATTAACAATTGTCGTCAGGATTAACAATACATTATTAATCCTGACGACAATTGTTTTGTTAAGGTTGTTCAGGAAAATGAATCGTTCATTGAAAATTATTCATTCTACTGAATTTTTATTCGTGTTGACCGATGAAAGTTTCCATGTTATGCTTTTGCTAATTGTTATGTTTATGTGAGTTACATTTTTATTGCTGTATTGATGATATTAAATTAAATAATACGGAAAATTTGAATTGCCCGTCGCGTAACTAACTGTTCTTCGACTTTCTACGTAGCATCATAATTATGAAATATATATATAACTTCAGTTTTATAGTTGGGCTGGGCATTTCGCAAGACTTACAGACCAGAGAAGGACCATAGCACTATGAAAAAATTATCCAACGGGAAAAGCGAAGTAGAGGAAGGTGTTTGAAGCGCTGTGAAGATGAAATAAAGAGAACAGGTAGCCCTTTTTAATCCCTTTCAACTTTGTGTAAGGATATCATATTGTTGGCTTTAAAAATGACATAAAAGAGGATAACTGAGGAGTTTTTTACCTTTTTAATTTATTTTAAGACTCAAATAGCACAAGATAGAGGCACATACGTAAGGGGGGGTGACAAGGATACGTAAGGGTTCTTGCAGATAAATCTAAGTCTAAATAACTGTTTAATAAAACAAATTATTACTCACATTAACCAAACAAAACTTACTCTTATTTTAGTTTAAACATATTATATTCATATTTTAAAGCTAACTATATATGTAAGTTACTAAATTATACCACTGTCAATTTCTTGTAGGAAATAAAAGGCATTTTTTTATTTTATGTACCTAAAGTGAGTAAAAAAAAACTGTTTGGCCTTTATAAAACTGTTAGTTATGACCATTGATTTATATATTACACGTTATGACGGTTTGGGAAAGATGATTATTAGATCAATATTTTTAAAACAAATAATAACAATTTTAATGAACACGGAAGACGCCGCAGCCCAAGCAATTTTAACCAAAACATTTAAACAAGGGTCAATATCTTTGTTAAAAAAAAAAACGATTTAATGAATTTCGTAACTGTAGACGTGTTTTTGTTTCGATTTAAATAAATACTTCCCCACTATTATTTATTTCACATCTGTTCACTAAGTCCTCGGAATAAATTATGACACAATTACTCATTTACGTTAGCAACAACAATTTTATATAATATATATTGAGCTAATCTTTGCTGAAAATTTACTACAGATAAGTCATATACTTATTAAATTTTAAGAAAAAAAATCCAAATAAATTATGTAGATGATACAAAATAAAATTATTATAATGGAATAAGTCAAATTAATTATAAATGTGCTTGCTGACAAAAAGTGTTCTGTGCGGTCTGCGTTTTGTTGAATTTTCTTGTTTCTGCATTAATATACTGTAAAAGCGGGTCGAGGTGTTAGTGAAGTACGTCTGGAACATGCTGAGCGCGGTGTTTCGCGGGCGCTGGCTGGGCGGGCCATTGACGCTCGTCTGTTGCGCTGCAGGCGCTCGTCCGGTGCGGGCTTCCGGGGTGAAAGCGCACTAGGTGTGTGCGGAGTTCGAGCTGAACGGCTGCGGGACATTGGACGCTCCTCCTCGGTCCAATCACTCAGAGACATGTAACGATCTTCCTGTACACAAAAAATATTATTATTTACGCTCTATGGCGTCACAAATATTTATTAAACATTATCTAAATTATTTCAGCGCGTTTGTGTTTCAATATTAGAAATCGATCTCTTCCTAAGGTTGTACCCGCACCTGCAATAACAATAATTATAACGCTTGGCAGAAATATTTGCAATAGTTCTATAACGATTTGTATAAGTAGATTCTGTGACTTATACGATTTTTCCCCCGCAGCCGCTTTTTTCAACACGGAAAGGAATGATAAATTCGCATTGAAGTAGACTGTTTAATTAGACTTCAAACAACGAGCTTCTTTTCAATTCGACTGAATGTTCTTTTTTGTTGTATTTACGTTACTCGATATCTTTGCGAATTGTAAACGATTTTAATGATTATTTTTGATCAAATAGGTTATTCTATGGGGAAAGGTTCTATGTATATAAATTCAGAGAAAAATATTTTGAAATGTAACTACTTAGACTACACTGAAATTGTTGCCTTGAGCTTCTTATATTCCTTAGTCAACTCAAAAAGGTCAAACAATTAAACTTTTGATAAAAAAGTAAAAGCCGACTTCAAAGAACATACTTTCTCAGATAATGCCTTCTAAATTTGATGCTAAGAAAAAGTGTACAGAAAAATGAAGGCTACCAAAATTCGTTCTTTTAATTAATTGTCTGGTTCTTCTCTCGAATACGCGCAGAACACAGTGGCATATTCGCAACGGTTATTGCACTACCAAAAAAAAAAAAACGCTTTATGTCACATAGATTTCTAAAACCTTTTATCTATGAAGTCGTATTTCGTATAGCATAGAAAGGTGTCAGTCTCACTGAAACAAATATTATGAGTGCAAATGAAAATTCTAATGATATCACAACAATACTTACCGAAATCCTGAAAGTGATTTCCATTGATTAGGCAGGTGCGCGTGCAGGTGTGGCTACATCTTAACTACAGTACGTACATTAAATAGAGAAATTGGTTGTCTGTCTTGTAAGCTTATTGTGTAAATAAAACAATGATTATCGCGTTAATTTGTATTAAATTTTACATTTATACCATTACAGCAGATATTTTCACGTTCACTATAAAATTATAATTTGAAGATAGAACTTCATAGCAAAACATCCAGCAATAAATTTGTATAAAAAAAGAAAATTTGTAATAATTAATAAAGTTTTTTTTAATGCGACAAAACACTTCATAATAAAAATAACATTGCAAAGAATTATGTGAAAAATGAACATAATCATTGTAATTAATATTATTTGCTATAATTAATTTCGCTTTAAAACGTATTTAAATATAAAACATTTTTCATTCTTAATAATAATATGGTCAGTCGATCCCAAGCCCTGCTCCCGACACGGCAATAAAAGCGTATAAAAGCTATTTTCTTATTCAAATTAAAAAGCATTGTTAAAATATCTAATAAAACGAAACATTCAAAGTTTTTTTAGCGTAACGCAACACGCAATGTCAGGAACACCGGCTAACATCCATAGCTCACCCTAATTTAATTCTATACATTGTTCGTGCATACTACGAAATACATGTTACTGAAAAGAACAACGTCAGTGGTAACAAAGCTTCAACGACTACCAATAAATATTACATAATATGATAATATGGAACAGAGCAGATGAATTGCCACACTGGACTAGGTCCTAGGCGTGCCGATTCCGCGCTCTGTTAAAAGTATGTGCTTGCAAAGTCTATGTAGGTATAGCATATTGTATATTAAATTTCACAAAACGCAGTGAGGGGTCGAACCACAGAAATCTATAAAAATAATAAGGCAATATTATTTAGAGTTCTGTGGGTCACTGTTTCGTACAAAAGTGTTTACTAGGTGCAATATTTTTATCTTAAAATCCTTACAATCATTATAAGAAAAGTAAACTCGTAAATTTGTGCCTACCGCAGTCCTAACGAAACATACAGTTTTTTTTAAATTTCTGATCATGTATTTTTATATAATGATTGTGTTGGATAGCTGTTATATCTTACAAAATATTTACTATAATAACTACTACGGGGACACAAACAGTGAAATTCTGTGATACACGTAAATATTTGTCGTAAATCGTAACAATGTTGTAATCATAGAAAACTATAATACACAATAGAATGGCTGTCAACCTTATTTTGTACGACGATAGGCGTCGCCGGGAGCACACATACAATCAATTACGTCGTATTATCAGTAAATAACTACTACAAACCTGATTCACTGTGTTGATAGATGGATTATAATACATATTTATTTGTAACTAGCGTGCAACTTGGCATTTTCTAAATAATTTGCATGCGAAATTTGGAAACGATTGTAACGTCAAAACACATCTCGTGTTGACATTTATACGCGTGAATTGACGTGTTAGTGGCATTTTAGTGGCTACACGGGCTCCGCCCACTCTCCCGTTCTATTATGTATGTATTATAGTATTCTATGGTTGTAATGCATTGGCACATTGTGAAAAACAAAATATTATATAAATAGGCAATGTTTGTATGGAAATATTGTAGCATTATTTATTCAATATGAAATATTGAAGATACAGTAAATAATATTTTCTAAATGATATAATATTTTACTTCAATGTCTCTGACAATGTCAAATTAAAAGATTAATCTTTACTCAACTGTAATTTATATCAACAAACAAATGCTTCAATTAGAATTATATCTATCATACAAATATTATGGACACTATAAAATAAATTTAAAGTTAATGTTAATATTTTAGATCTTCGGGCGTAGTGATCTAATGATTCGAAGTGTAACGCCTTAACAGGACTGTTGGTTTAAATTCTCATCTGACTTCGGAGGTGCTGACGGCGGTACCGGACTCTACGAGAGAACAAATAATGATTATTGTCTTGAAATAATGCCATGAATTAAAATCAAATGAAAAAAAAACACAACTGTTAGAACAGCAAAAAAAAACCAAACGAAAACAATTTGTATGTAATGGACGTTGTCGCATGATTCTACAATAGTTAGTAACAAACGCAATCCTATATCACCTAAAATTTTCTTTGCTCTTTAAAATCTAATAAAACGTGTACAAATATTCTGGCTGAAACAAAACAAAATGAATGACGTTATAGTGGGAATGAAGTCGCAATGATTAAGACCTTCACCAAAACAAGGAGACAAAGCAAAAATAAAAGGATAGAAGATTTTAAAAGGCCCTTTGCTAGAGCAGGCCTCACCTCCTGTCGGGACTGATTGTGGCTGTTGGGCAGTGGCGACTGACCGGTCACGTGCTTGATGTATTCTTTGTCGTCAAATATCTTAATATCACCTCCTCCTGGTTTATATTTTACGTTGTCTAGAGAACCAACCTTGCTTTGAGCTTTGAATTCCAATTTTTGATTTTCAATCTGTCCGAAAAAGTGACTGTGTGGTATATAATGTGCAAATAATACAGTTATATTTATGCAATAAATAAGTTGATACTAAGACTTTATTAGCTTCAAGCGTGTTTCATAATTTGATGAAATTGTTTTAAGTAATAATTAGTTGAAAACAGATTACTCAAAGATATTAGTTACATTATATTTATAATATATAAATACCGCGTGAATATAAATTATTTTATGCAACTCAAAATGAAGTAACAACAGCGGTTACAGCCGAAGAAGTCTTAGTAGCTAGTACAATAAAATACATAAAAGCATTGTCCGGCATTGCATCAAATGGTAAGCATTTTTATAAACACGATGCAATATTGTTCATAGATAAGAGTGCATCTATTGTGCTTGATTGCAGTTTCTGAATAATAAGCAGCTATATATTATATAGAAATAATAAAATACGCCACTATATATGCAAATTATTTGAGTGCACTCTGCAAGTGATCCTGAATCCAATAGATCATCTTACATATCAATAATTAAAAATGTAATAGTCTCATAAAATACATGTTACAAACACGAACTGAAACTTATTAAAACTAAAATTGAATCATTATGTTAAACGTCTTAAAAATAAAGCATGGTTTCATTTATCATTCCAGCATTCCGTAAGTAACGATCCCGTTTATATCATTCCCAAAGTGGAACATAGAGCGTGTAGTACAACTTGTGATACATCTGTCCTAAAGACGTCAATTTTTTATCTCGCATCCAGTGGCTTATCGTAAACAATATTGTCCATAACCTGATGAATAATAACGGACCTTACCACGTAAAGAATGTAAAGCAAAGGGCTTATGTGATGCCCTCCACCTTGGTAACTCCCACTTTACAAACTAAAACACAACGTCTATTTAAACTCTTACATAAGTGTATTTAATCTAATTTAAGTCTTGTAAACTGTGCATTATTCGGATGGGAACGCCGTCAACATAAATTTACAATAAGCGAACATTAAGTAGTATTTATTACTCACTGATTTCTCTCCGATCTTTGCATCTGTTGACTATGGAAGAAGATGTTTGGGTTTGAATCTCTTCTTAAAGTATTATGTATAATATTCTATGTGATTCTATATTAAATTATCTAAATTTAATTCGTGCAAACGAAAATACAACGAGATCTAAACTACGCAATGAGATTAAAGGACTTTACATCAATTATTGTGCTTTCATCTGTTACTTCTCTATACAAATTTATATAAGATGTACTTACTTTTAGTTCAGAGATTATTTTGATAATAGTAATAATTAACTTTTAATATTTTATTTGAAATTAGTAACATTACTGTAACACTGTTTTTCAGCTAACCTTTACAGCACCACCTCCGGGCTTGTGAGTAATATTTGCCGTAGATCCAATTTTTGGTTTTGCTTTATCTTTGAAATCTAGCTTAACAGTTTCTATCTTCTTATCCCCACCACCCGGCTTATAAGCAGTATTCTGTAGAGAGCCCACTTTAGACTTTGCGTTCCATTCCAGCTTCGTGGTAATTATCTGAAAAATTCGACAGTACATGAATAAACTTGATTATGTATTGATTGCGATTATGTATTGATTATATAAATATTGTATTTTTTGTATTTGCAGCAAATATCTTGTAACTGAACGATATCGTAGTCAGATACTACAGACATATGATCACTAGGATGCAATTATACCACGCCATACAGCAGGAGGCACAAGTTATGAAGGCTGGAAAATATTGGTGGGCTAGCGGAGTTTTTTTTTTATACTCAACCTGTTTTGGTTTTTTTGTAATAATGTCTGTTTTGGCGAGTCATAATAAACGAATAATTCCCATAGTATGTCACTGACTACTTAAGACCTATGAAGCAGCGGGATTAATGTCGCCGCGCCCGCATATCCCCAAGCATATCTAAGAACGTTTAATACTATATTTTTACTAAACACTTTGTTTAATACGCATGTTAACGCATGGAGAGGTTAGTGTTCTACATTAATGATACGAAACACAAATGATGCAAAAGCTCTATAAAAATATCCCAAAAGTACATATTATAATATCATATCATATCATATTATCATACTCGAATATCGAAGCGGTCAAATTTGGACGCTTGGCGTTTGAGAGGTTAAAGGCAAAGTTGTGCACGTATTCATTTTACTTCTTTTTATGTTAGCGTTAATAACACTAATTTCTATTTAGTACTATCAGCTTCTAAATTATATATCCTCAGTTTGCCTAATAGTGTTTGGGAAAGTTTGAGTGAATCATGAACATCAGCGTGTGTCATCGCTACGTTTAACGTAAAGCATAAATTTTTTACTCACGGCGAGACGTTCAAGGCTAGATTTCAGAAATTAACTTTAAAGAAATAAATCGTTTTTGCTACAGTCCAGACCCGGATAGCAGCGACTATTTATGCTTATTTTTTGTGTAGAAAATTCTCCAAATTATTTTCCCGCATTAGAATTTTATTATGTACCGTGGATGCGTACATAAATTACACATGGACAAACATACAAACTGGGAGAAAATATTTGAAGACCATATTTATAAACACTTGCACAGCAATAAAACGAGAAGTATTTCCGTTACCTAAGCCTTTTTTGATTTTCGGTTTAAAAAAAGCCCATCGGTGTAAAAAATTAAAATTGAAGGAAAGATAGGAACTTTTTATTATCAATAACCGTGAATAGATATGGAGTTCGATTTTTGGTCTTGAACATACTAATTAGGATTTGTTCCAATTTCTCTATTCTTTGACTATTTTGATAAATTAAATAATAATTTATAGATTTTTTTTGTAGAATAATGCCCAAATACTCAAGACGCTACTCAGTTTAAGTATTTGGACGTAAAGGCGACAAACACGTACCAGCACCTAAAGTGACCGCTGTCACAGATTACTAAAGCTGTCACAGATTACTAAATAGTTTACCAGTGCCGCTGTTGATATTTTACCCTGGTATCCTATGAGAGCGTAGTCTTTACTGTACATAACATACATAAACACTCACGCCTGTCACCCAGAGGGGTAGGCAGAGACTACAGACTTCCATTTGGCACGATCCTGACACACCTCTCTCGCCTCCTTCACATCCATACACCTCCGCATACATGCTCGTCGGTTAAGGGTACTCCTAATTTGGCCCGTTTTCAATAAATCGCCAATTTATTCGATAAATTTTCGCCTAGGACGTCCCTTTCCGACTCTGCCATTCGCTTCCGCAACATAAATTTTCTTTGTCACTCTTTCCTCATTCATTCTTTCCACATGACCAAACCACCGAAGCATTCCTTTCTTAATCCTGGTCACAACATCATCTTGCAAACCACACTCTTCTCTTATTATACAATTTCTTACTCATTAAGAATTTTCTTGTCATTAAGATTCAGCCCTAACATACTCTTTAACGACCGCATTTCTACTGCGTTCATTCTACTCTCGTGCTTCTTCTGCCACACCCAACTTTCACTACCATACGTTAAAGTAGGGACCAACACAGCATTGTGAATTGCCATACGTGCCTTTTTCGACACATTTTGACTCTTCACAATAGAGTGCAGGGCCTCATTTACTCTATTTCCCGCATTCACTCGTCGTTCTATATCCTTATCATATCTCCCATCCCTGCTAAATACGCAGCCCAAATATACAAACTCATCTACTTACTCGATCAACTCCCCTTCTATTCTTATTTCACAAATCGTTTTACTTTCTTCTCTTTCAAAAACCATAACCTTCGTCTTACTTGCGTTCACTTTCATACCCCTTTCTTTTAATGATGTGTTCATTAATGTAACCATCATTTGCAACTCGGCCGCCGACGACGCAAGGATAACTTGATCATCGGCGTACAAAAGGCATTTGACGTTTAACTCACCCATTCTTAATCCGCATTCTTCAACTTTCAAATTTTGCAAACAACTGTCCATAAATAGGTTGAACAGCCACGGGGAAGCCACACAGCCCTGTCTGACACCTTTATGGATGTCAAACTAGTCCGAGTAGACCCCGTTGATCCTAACACAAGCACTAGAGTCCCTATAAAGGGACTCCAATGCCTGTATCAAGCCAGCACCCAACCCATGACTTCAGTGTTTGCCATAGCACATCGCTATTCACTCTGTCATAGGTCTTTTCCAAGTCCATGAACGCACAAAAAACCTTATGGTTTTTAGCCAAAAACTTCTCCGCGATCATGCGCATCGAAAAGACTTGATCTGTACATCCCATTCCCTTTCTAAATCCCGCTTCCACATCCCAAATTTTTCCATCAGTTTCTTTCATGACCCTTTCAATCAGTACCTTAGCATACAGTTTTCCCACAATGCTAAGAAGGCTGATGCCACGGTAGTTTTTACAGTCCTGCTGCGACCCTTTTCCCTTATATACTGGGACTATTATGGCTTTGCACCAGTCTACCGGTACCCGCTTCAGTTCCCAGCATAAATTAAACAAGGTGTGCAGCAGGCCTGCCGCCACTTCCTCTCCAGCCCTTAGCATTTCGAGTGAAACTCTATCATATCCGGCAGCCTTACCTGCTTTCATGCTTTTCATTGCTTTCATTATTTCACCTATACCTATCTCGCTACCTCTTTCCTCTACTTTCTGAATTTCTACTTCACTTAGCACACACGTTGTCTCCTCACTCATAAACACGTTTTAAAAATATCCTTCCATCTTTGTAAACTCAAAATTTCATCATTCAGAATACAGCCACTCTCGTCGCGTATATCTTTAAATCTAGGCTGTTTTGAATGTCCCCTGGCAGTTTTTACAAGTTTCCAGAACATTTTAATATTTGCCTGGAAATTATCCGATATTCTTCTATCATTCTTATCCGTTCTTTCTTGCTTTTTTCTTTCAACTACTTCTTTTACTCTCTTATTAAGATGTCTAAAGACTGCCCTTTTTCTTTCAATATCATCATTCGTGCCGCCAGAATTACTAGCATTTGTTGCTAATAAATCTAGCCATACTCTCTTCTTTGCTTCAACTTTCATACGTACCTCATTATCCCACCATAACGTATTATTTTTCCTTTCATTCGTTCTCTTACTAACACCACATACTTCGGTAGCTACATCCACTAAACCTTTCTTTACATTTTGCCATACATTCTCCAAGTCTAACTCCTTCATACAGAATTCATCCAAACCACTTATATTTTCTTTCAGTCTACATTTGAACTTGTTTTTCTCACCTTCATCGTGTAACCTTTTTGTTCTAATACGCTGTAATGCAGTGGTAGACACAGATGATCGATGGCGCCAACGCCTGAATAGACCATTAATTCGGCATAAAACCAAATAATGAACCGTTCCTACGTTAGAACCCCGGTAAACCCTTGTATCCACCACTGCGCCCCTCAATCTTTCATCCACAATTATTAAATCTATCATGCTTCTATCGTCACCTCTTTCCCAAGTATACATGTGAATCCTCTTGTGGCGAAAGCAAGTGTTCGTCACAAAAAGATCCTTTTCCATACATACGGTGAGAAGACTTTCACCATTCTCATTTATACTTTCATCACCAAACGTTCCCAATATTCTTTCATAACCAAGCCTCCTCACCCCAACCCTTCCATTAAAATCTCCTAGCATAATAATATTTTCATTTCCCTTACACTTCATTAACACCATCCTTACCATTTCCCAAAACTGCTCTCGGATATAAGTGGGCTTAGACATGTCTGGGGCGTAGATCCCTAACACAAACAACTTCTTTAAGCCCACTTTCATTCGTATCCATAGCAGTCTTCGGCTTACACATTCAAACTCTTTCACACCTTGGCCCATTCTTTCTGAAAGGATGATACCTACTCCCTGGCATGCCCGCTCGATCTCGTCTACACCAGACCAGTATGCGGTATACATGCCATGTGTAGTGACATCCTTCCCCTTCCTTTTCGTCTCATTTACACATAACACATCTATTCCTCTATCATACATCATATCGCATACTTCATCCATTTTATCATTCATTGCCCCACATACATTTAACGTAGCCAGACGGGCCTCTGCAATCCACTTTTCGCCTCTCCGGGAGACAGAACGTGACGGGTGGCGAACCTCGTCGCCGGTTTTCCTCCCGGTCGCCGGTTTTCCTCCCTTTACTGTAATATGTAACAAATAAAGATATCAGTGGGCCCCGGCATCCAATTGTTTTCAAGAACACAGCGTGTTCGTTTATGAGGTACTCTTACTTTTATTAAAAAAAACATAATAAGAAAGCTTACCTTCTTTGCACCACCACTCGGTGTATAGGCTTCATTTTTCGCGGCAATTTTAGGAGCAGCATTAAATTCGAGTTTCCTATTCTCTATCTTAACTTTTCCACCGCCTGGTTTATAAGTAGTATTTTCCAAGGATCCAATCTTCGACTTCACTGCCTTTATGTTGGGCGAAGGTGCATTGCCTACTTGAATCTTGTTCATTGGCACCTCTGCAATATTATGATTTCATCAAAATATTTACTTATACGTTTTGGTAGGCCACGTACTTATATAAAAAATCATCTGTTGACCTTGCAGGCCATCCCTGGAACTTCCCCCTATTGTTGATCTCAAAACGCTCGACAAATATTTATACGATTTAATAGTTAACTCATTACATCAAAAATTATCCGAGCAGAAATTTCAAAGTTTTAAAAAACATTTTTTGAAATTTTATGACAACGTATACTTTCGAACGGATAAACTTTCGAAGGGATCAACTGATTTTGATGTAATTCATTGGTGGAAATCGACGAGATATTTTAAAAACAATAATAAAATCTATTATAAAAAAAACTATTAGACTATAAATTAAAATAAATTATTTGAAGAAAAAGAAATCATTTTCTTCGAAATTTTTCGTCATCGATTTCTTTTTACCGCATTACCCGTTTTTGAAGCATTAAGCATTCGAAGTCGTTTTCCATGTCGAAAACGAGTGAAACCAATTACTTCCCGATTTTATGAAAATCTTTGATTTTCAAAAACTACTTCAGGTTAGTGCATTACATAACGAGTCTGCTGCATTAACAGCTAGGTTTCCTCAGGAAAGGTACTCCTCTGAATATTAGACATTTAATTAATCAGTGCATATGATTATAATTTTACAGTAGACTTATTTGAATGTTATAGAGAAACACAATATTACGAGTATCATTATCTTTGAGAGATTCTATCTCATATGTCATGGTTAGCAAAGTAGCTGTAGCGTTATTTGAATTTGAATGCAGATATCTATGAGCTACAGCAGCCACATACCATCAGACAGAACGCGCGCTCTTTTATTACTTTATAGAAAATATAAAATATTCATTTTTATAATTTTTTTCTGGTTTACATAATTTAAAACCAGCACACTGTGTGCTCGTTTGTCACCCTTATTCTATAAAAAAACACTACTTAAAATAAAATTGCCGCTCTGGGTGTCAAGAGCTTGTCTTGTCTATTCTTCTAAAATTTGTAAACTAGCCGTTGTTAACCTAACAACTAGTTTAGGGGTGAAGAGGGCCATCAATTTCACAGTTTGAGATCAACCCGGTTCGATCCCTATACCGGTATGAATAAAATCTTTTGCTCGTTTACTAGGTGATCAGCGGTGAAGATGAAGTGCTCCAATACGCACTGAAACATCGCGGTGGTCTAATTGCTCCATTCATTACAAGTCCACTGCTCAAGATAAGCCTTTTCCATAAATTACCTCACAGGGGATATTTGCCACGTTTGACAGACGGCTTGGCAACCACAGTTTGTCAGAAAGATGCTGCTGACTATCTCCTGTTTTAGTTTCCCTCTGATTTTTAAGATATTCACGAGATGTCATGGGGTAGTGGAAATTTATACGTTGCCTACTATATGACATACGCGGGACTGCATGACATTTCTCCATAACCCTCTGACCAAAAAAGGGACGTTTATTGGCCGTAACTTTAATTTTACTTTTTTCTTTCTTGTCAACCCACATTTGCTTCATTAAATTCGCTTCATCTGCACAAGATCTAAGGAATTTTGATCACATAAATTATAGCAATCTAATCTTACTTTTTTTCTCCGAAGGTAGAGGATTTTCAGGTGTTTTCGCTGTCGCACTCTTACTGGAAGATCTGGAAAGGCTGGTTTTAATACTATTGCTCGATTTCTCCTTAGTAGGCAATTTGCTCGGCAATTTTTTGTTTGGAGATCCGGGTGAGCCGTTGACATCCTATAAGGCGTAACAAAATTGAATATCTTACACAAGATATTTGACGCTTGATTATTTTGTTTATGTTAAATTAATCAAAAAACATATGTAGTATATTTCTACGTACATTTCCCTGAGTCGATTCATCCACACCACTGTCATTGTCTCCATCTGAAAATAAAATATAAATACAATACAGTTAGGGAAAAGTTAACATAGCATAATTATGTTTAGAATGTTTTGATTCATCTCAACGTAAGTGTTAATTCTATTCCAAATACCTATCTCAATTACCTTTAGGACGTGATTTCGGTGCTGATATTACTTTTCTTGGTGTCGACTTTTTAGAATCTGTAGAGGTAGTGGATGTATTCAATTCAGTTGGTTTTTTAGTAACTGACATTGGTTTAGTTTCTGGTATCGGAGATTTAGTAGGTGTTTTAACAGATGGCTCTGAAATTTTCTCATCTTTTGTTACTTCCACCTTAATTTCAGGCTTTACATCAGCTTTTGGAGTTTTTGGGCGCTGGGGTTCTGGTGTAACACTTTGTGGCTTATTCATTATCACTGAACTCTGTGAAACGTTTTTCGGTTCTGGGGAATCATCACTTCTAGTTAAAGATGGGGAGCGATCGGATAGATCAGTTTTGTTCTGATTTTGGGCACTTTCATTTTTCAAAGTATGCACATTGTTTTGCAATACAACGTCGTCGTTATCGTCTACTTTCTTTTTCGACACTAAATTGCTCAAAGACCCCATAAAAGATTCAGTCATTTTAGACCCAGACAAACGCGATTCTGGACGGTCGACATTGTCCTTGTTTCCATCATTAGACGCCTCAGATCTAACGCTTTCTTTAGAGTCACGAACATTATCTTTACTGTCTTTTGACTCTTGAATTAACCCAAGCCCTGGGCTACGGATTGCAAATTCATCGATCTTACCGCCCACAGCACTAATAGATTTTCGTCTGTCTTCATCTATCTTAAGCGGGCTTGGTGTGCCAGGGGCTGCAGAAATGCTGTAACTTCTGCCTTTTGCCATTCCTTGCGCCTCGACGGTAAACTCGGGTTTACTAGCATTTTGATTGTCATTACTTGTATTTTGGTTATCCAGGTTGGCTGTTTTAGTTAGGTTTGTACTAATCGAATCAAGGCCTTTTAAAGAGCCTTGGGATGCTTGCCTTGGAGTTTGCCCAGGTACTTGTCCCGGTATTGTAGCACCGTTTTTAGATGTACCGTCAAATTGTGAAGGCAGCTGAGATTTCAAACCGTCAGGCGTTGTTGCGCTCCCAAACTGAGGAGGCTGTCTTGGACCGAACTGAAGGTTACTTGGTGCAGGACCTCTTTGCGGTGGGTGAGTAGTCGTAGGAGACTGTAGTGGTCTTGGACCTTGTGTTTGAGGTCCTAAGGGACGTGTCTGAGGAACTTGGGATCGAATTTGTGGAGACCCTGGTGCAGCGGACGGAGTTGATCCTCTTGTTATTGGATTTCCGGAACGAGGTGCAAACTGTGTAGGACTAGTAACCGGTCCACCCGGTTGAAATTGCGGCCTTTGTTGAAACTGAGATGGAGCTCCTGATCTAGGCGACGGTGGTATAATAGATGATCGCGAATCAATTCGAGTCAGTGGTGGACGCGCCGGCAGTTGAGCTGGGCCGTTAGCCTCCTGGCCGTTGGGGCCACCACTTGGAGGTCGAATGTCCCCCGGGGCCTTTGCAAATAAATAACATTATTTGAACATATTTTTTTAACTTTTAATTTTTATTTTAAACAATACTAATGTTTAATAATGTTTTAAATTATCTTTACATAGATATATAACGTGCGACTGTTGATTGGTTAAGTAGTGAATACGGAGTAAAAGCGCCTCTGACAGAAAAGGCAGAACAACGTCTGCCAAGCCAACAAGTGTAACATAAAGGAACAAAGCAAAAAATTATGGGGAAAAACATTCTTATTACATATTTTACGAACCTATTAATCACTTATAATACATCAAATAAATGACATATACACATACATAGGCTGCACTAAAAGTATCGGAAATGGAATATTTCCACTGTTCCTGTCATATTAAAATCTTTTTAATTGAAAACTCCTTGGTTTCAAAAATCGAATACCATTTATTTATTTAAAAAAAAGATTCCCGGTCTTGTCACAAGGTTTTGTTAAACTTATTTAGTCGTTGAGAAAATGGAATCGACTCGAGAAAATTCAAGGGCGATGATTTATTATGACTTTCGAAGTGGTTTAACACAAAAACAGTGTGTTGACCGGATGATTTCTGCATTTGGTGATGAAGCCCCATCCAAAACCACAATTTATCGCTGGTTTACTGAATTTCAACGTGGACGTGTCAAGCTCCCAGTGATGATCCTCGTCAAGGTCGTCCAAAAACTGCAGTCACCCAAGAAAACGTTTATGCTGTGCGTAAGCTGATTAAGGAAGATCGACATGTGACATACCGCGAAATTCAGGCAACTTTAGACATTGGCATGAGTCAAATACAAATAATCTTGCATGAACAATTAGGTGTAAAAAAGTTGTTTTCCCGATGGATACCGCATTCGCTCTGTGAGAGCAAAAAGCGGCTCGCGTTACTTGGTGCGTCAGAACTCTCGAAAGATTCCACGCAGGATCCTCAAATACTGTATACAACATCGTATCAGGTGACGAATCCTGGATATATACTTACGAACCCGAAAATGAGTTAAAGCCAACAAAAATTGTTCGTTCACGGAGTGTTGCAAAAAAAATGGTGGCCACGTTTGTCTCCAAAACCGGCCATGTTACGACTATTCCTCTTGAGGGACAAAGAACGGTTAATGCAGAATGTTATGCTAGCATTTGTTTGCCACAGGTCGTTTTTGAACTACGTAAAGAGAACTGCAACCACCGCATCATCCTCCATCACGACAACGCGAGTTCTCACACCCACACAGAACAAAAGGGTTTTTAGAGCAAAAGAAAACATAGAAATATTAGACAATCCGCCGTACAGCCCCGACCTAAGCCCTAATTATTTCTATACTTTCCCTAAAATAAAGAATAAATTGCGTGGACAGAGATTTTCATCACCTGAAGAAGCTGTGGACGCCTACAAAACGGCCATTTTGGAGACCCCAACTTCCGAATGGAATGGTTGCTTCAATGATTGGTTCCATGGTATGGAAAAATGTGTCAAATTTCGCGGAGAATACTTCGAAAAGCAATAAATTCATTTTTAAATAGTAATGTTGTGTTCTTCCTTGATTCCCGAAATTTTCAGTGCCGCAAATATAAATTTGTATCGCATTGCTGTGGTAACTCGGGGGACAAGCGGTTTTTCTTGTGTTCCGTTCGGAAATTTTAACCGCTTATCCCCTAAGCCAAGCCAAGTTCGATTACGGCTAACCACTAATGGAATTGTTTATTGTTACAATTAAAACTGATAATTTATTACTTGCTCGGCATTGAAAGAAAGTTATTGAGCTCTTATATTTAAGAAAAGAAATTTTACATATTTTAAATTTGAATTTTTTAAAACTTGATAAAAATGGGTTCATGAAATTTTTATGACGATCATAAGTAACTAAAAGATTTTCATTTGAGGTATAAAAAGAATCACACGTTATATTATCCTTTGTTACCTTTATATTTTAAGTACCTACTACCCTCAATGTCCTTGGTAAGTAGATAGATACAATATTTAAGTAAAAGTAACTGTATTCAAAGAGTATGGTAAGTAAATACAAGAAACTTTTCCTCAGATATTGGTATCCGTAAATTTAAAGTAAGAGCAATTTTTTTAAATGTGTGATCTGATGTGAATTTGTTTTAATGTATAATCAAATACATATGCACAAGTGTTCTTACGTGGTAGAGCCACGCTACAGCTAAATTATGGTTGTAGCACGAATGGGTCGGCTCGACCGTGGGATGATCACGCTCCCATACCAGTGTAAAATAGCAGCTTAATACTCCTGTGTTTCGGATGTTGAGAGAGAATCGGAGACTTTTTTTACTGGAAACGAGGCATTCCACCTCGGTCGTCAGGAGTGATTCTTAATCGATCATTAATGTAGATGTCTATGGGCCTCAGCATCCACTTGTCGTAGGGTTAACTGTGTGCTCGTTTGTCATATTTATTCTATATAAAAAGTTTCAATGAAAAAAATGGCTACTTTAATAACAACTAACTACATTCCTACTTCATTTGATTCCGCATGTAACCTCCATACAGGTTAAAAGAGCAACGACCTCTTAGACATAAGTTGTCACGAACTCGGCCAGTAGGTCGACGAGCTATTTGAGGATAAAAAAATGCATCATAGGGATACCGACGAAGTGAATTTCTCTATTTTTAAAATAATAGGTAATTGTCATGTAGAATTCTTAACAACATATGATCAAAGCAAAAGCATGATACATATATTAAAATAGAAAATTCTTATATTAAGAAGTTACACTTATCTATAATAAGTGCAACTTCTTAACATAAGCATTTTCTGCTGCCAAACAGCAGTGCGTGCACTGTTTTGTTGCGGTCTGAAGGATATAGGGAACCGGTATAATTACAGATTATTACAATATAGATTGAGGCATTATGTTTTGCCCCTCTGAGGTAACAACGAATGTCCTTGAATTAAAGTTCGTTATAGGTGTCAATATGCTGCAGTAGTCACTTACCATCAGATGAGCCGTGCGTACGTTATATACAATTTAAAAAAAATCCATTAACCGTCATTGAACTGCTGAACACAAAACTGTCCGTCCTAACACCCCTATAACATCTTTGTGTATAAAGTCAGAAACATAAAATGTTAATTCTAAGAACTTCTTAATTGAATATTCGAAAGTAATTCCTTCATTGTGATCAAATTGTGTGATAAATTGACAAAATCTATAAAATTAACAAAAAAAAAAAAAAGATATTTTGTTAAATAAGTTCAAAATTAATGGGTGCGTTTGGCAGAAAAAAGCGCTAGCAAGCGCTTGTAAGCAAAATGGCGATCGTAAGCGGTAATCGCTGTCAAATCGTAAGTAGCTATTTTCCTCTAGGACACGATGTTAGTTTCAACCGGGAAACCTAACCTAATTTAAATACATGTTTGTGAAGTATTCATATTAAAAACTTACCAATCATGAATTTTTAATAACATGTATATGTCTATTCATGTCATTATATTACTTAAAACTAATATTACAAAAAAACAACTTATAAACTCTACTTCAAAACAAACAAATTAAATAAGCAAAATGGCGGATTGTGTCAGCGCTACTGAAGTAGCAATCGTGTCCTGGCCGAAAACTATTTTAGCGCTAGTAAGCGCTTGCTAGCGCTTTTTTCTGCCAAACGCACCCAACATCAACTGCTACAGAATATTTAAAAATAGAACGTCGAAAATACTTTGACCGGCACCGCAACCGGCAGAACTCCTTTTTTTAATTAAAAGTGTTTCGGAAAACGTGACCAGTTGCTAAAGCGACCGCAGTAAATGTTATAATTTGTTTTTATACGAATAAACCTAAATTTTTGTTAGAATTTTGTGTAATGCTATTTAACCCCTTTGATTATATATTTGTCTATATAATCAAAGTTTTATCCGCACCTTCGTCCGCATATTAAAAACATGCAAATCTATAACAATGATCTTTGAGCAAGTAGTTCAGTTATCGAAATACTGAAAAACAGTTTTTTTTTGTTTTTATCCCTGAAACTATGTGCGATATAAGAAAATGATTAATATAAAAATAGTTATTAATACCCTAACACCTTATCCTTTAACAATAAAAAACCAATCCTGTTAAAAATCGCTCTTGAACCAAAACTTTAAGACATTTAAGATTCACTTAATCTTAGGTAATTTTTGTGTTAAATCTATCCATCCACTCCACCCACAAAAACCTATGAAAGTCCACTGCTGAACATAGGCCTCCCCATAGAGGGTCTCATAGGGAGTGCATCATGCTAAGTTGCCACGCTTTGCAGACGGGTGGCATCAGTTTTTTCAATCATTTCTCAGCATCTTTCTAATAACAACTTAAAATTATCAAAATCATAATTTTGAGCCGTTATCAGGAAATTGTTGCTGCCTATCTCAAGTTTTAGATTCCCTCAGTCGCCTCTTACGACACCGAGGGTCGGATTACAAGGTATATTCTTACATCGCCACGCCCCACACGGTTAAATTTTTGCAAACCAAAAAACTTTTTTTATATTACACTTAGTTTATGAGATGTACATCAAATAACAATTATATTATTAGTTTTTCGATTTTGAATTTAGCCATTCCGAAGAATCGACAAAAATTTTTAGAAATGAACTAATCGTCATGTCTTAATAAATTGCAAATTACCCCTAAACTGAATAGAAGCCTGTTATTTCGCCATTACAGAAAGACACTTAATTTTTTTATAGATATTTTGTATGTATTGATTTTGGCACGACTTTCCTTCTTAAAATTTAGAAAACATCGTATTGCTTGATTTAAGTCAAATTTAAATGGTGTAATCACGGACAAATTTATAGCTATGTCAATGTCTGTGATCATTACTAAATACACGCTTTTAAGCTTGGGAGGTAAAATAAATATATTTTATATCAGGAATTGTATTAAAATTCACTATGACATTTCTTTCCGTAGGTAAGTATTATAAGAGGTAAATATCAGTGATGTCAGAGACTTGATGGCTACTGATATACGGTGGTAAAGCAATTTCGCTTACATCAAACATACACACACTCTAACTCCTAATAGGATTTTGAAAAAAGGAATTTTTTTTTTTAAAAAAACCAGTCGGCGAGCATCGTCCAAAGGTGCGAAACGTGTTTTTTTATAGCATTGGGTGATAAACGAGCACACGGTCCACCTGATGGTAAGTGGATGTTCCGGTCCATAAACAACTACATCTATCCTCAACTAAGGATCAAAATGCAATTGCGTTGTCACCCCTGAAGGACTAAGATGGAATGCCTGGATTACAGTAAAAAGGGTCTCCCGTTCTCTACACTCACCATACGAAACACAGGAGCATTACGCTGCTATTTTACGCTGGTATTCTGTGAGAGCGTGGTCCTACCCCGGTCGAGCCGACCCATTCGTGATACAACTATAATATAGCTGCGGTGTGGCTCTACCACGTAAACGTCTGATCCAAGCCTGCCAAGCTTGATGGTAATAGCAAATCCTTCCTATCCAGCAAAGAAGATAAATGAATAATGAAATGAAAAAATGAAAATTACGACGAAGTAAATAATGCTATAGCTAAGGTAGTCAATTGGTTTAATGTTAATAATTTGCATTTAAATGGAACTGAAACTAAATGTATGAAATTCGTAACTCCTAATGTCAAACATGTTAATACAAATCTAATTTTAAATGGGGAAGAACTGAGTCTTGTTGATAGCACCATTTTTCTTGGAACCACACTAGACGCAAAGCTTCAATGACTCCACCATATATCAAAACTAGCTAGCAGACTTAGTTCTGCAGCATATGCTGTAAAAAAGATTAGAACTCTTACCAGTGTTGAAACAGTAAGAATAGTTTACTTTAGTTATTTCCATAGCATTATGTCGTATGGTATTTTGCTATGGGGACACGCGACTGACACTGAAATTATATTTATTTTACAGAAGAGAGCCATTAGAGCAATATATAATTTAAGACCGAAAGAGTCACTGAGACAAAAATTAAAGGAAATTAATATATTAACTCTGGCCTCTCAATATATTTATGAAAATGTAATGTACGTACACAAGAATAAACGTAGTTTTGCAAAAATAAGTGATATTCATCTGTAAATACTAGGAACAGACACAAGCTAGTTGTACCAGTTACTCGACTCCACCGAGTCAGTAATTCATTCTTGGGGTGATGTATACGCTTTTACAACAAAATCCCAGAAAATATATAAAATTTGTCATACGCAAAGTTCAAAAATTTTATTAAACTAAGTTTGTATAAAAAGGGTTATTATAATATTAAGGAATTTATGGATGATAATAACCCCTGGGAAGGGTGATCGCTACCAAGCTATTTCTAATTTGTGTTGTGTTGTTAATTGTAATAATGATTGTAAGCTATTATTTGACAAAAAAAATAGTCCCGCTGGGTTTCTTGCTGGTTCTTCCCAGGACAGAGGTTTTTTTTGCGAACTAGTGGTAAATGAAAAAATTGACTTTCAATAAGTATTGCTTATAATCTACATTGAATAAAAAAGTTTCTGTTTCTGTTTCTGTTTCAATAACGAAACCGTTGATTGATTGATTGATTGTGTAAAATATGATCTAAAAATCCGCGTCAATGACTTTGCAGATTTTAATCTAGATTTTAATTTTTATTTATACAATTCTCTTAATATAACTTTTAACTTATATAGGTACGTACTTTATAAAAGATGCTATTCCTATATCTCGTCATATGTATACTTTTCTGAATGTACTCATACTTTTATATATGGTCCTAGCAATGAGTATAAATGAGCAAATACCCGTAAATAATCCAGCATATAAAGTTTGATAGTGGCTATAAACAACGTGAAGTGATACTTAGCTAAATTTACTTTATGTCGCGTTTACCTTTTTCTAGATGGGTAATGTTTATTTCGGTTTTATTTAGACTTATTGGATTGTGTTGAAGTTTCTTATTGCGTACGTAATTACGGTAACGTTTTTATGTTCGTATGCTTTAAAAGACGTTTATTAATATGCGATTTACATTTAGTTATTTGCACAATGTTGTATATAAAGGCCTTAAATATAATTGTCGACACACCACACAATCGAACAAAACGATTTTCTTCGTCGTTCGTAACGCGTGCAGCAAGTAAAGAAGTGGAATAATTTGCCAGCATGTGACTTTCTATCCGATTACAATTTGTTGAAGTGTCTCCAAGGCAAGAGTGAATAGGCTTTTTTTAAGCTCAATCAGTGCGCTATACGATCCTCGGCTGCATCATCACTTACCGGTGGTATAGTAGAAAATATTGAACTTAAATTTGATATATCAACTTGAATAAATTTGATTAAGTATGTACATTAATCTACTTAGTCTTTAAGCCGATATAGTGACCTTCTGTAGTCTATTCAATGGGTGTAATAAATCATTTATTTCCTTGGTAATTCATTTACTCAAACTAAAGTAGAATTAATATATGCAATATGTTTCTGAATAATTCATTTCTTATATATAATGCACTACTTAAATAGTTCTGTGATCAATAGTTATTAAAACGAAGTTTGGCTAAAAATAATTCATGATTTTGAAGCAAAAAGGCTTACATTGGAAATATTGATTGTTACTGTATATACCGATTCGTATATCGTATGTACGTGTACGATCTGTATCTTCAAAACACATTTACGAGCAGGTATGGCAATGGCAATCGATAACGTTGCTCGGGCATTGCCACACCTTTGAGTTATCACAAAAGTCCTTGCGTGATCACGTTTGGTTAACATTCACAATACCAGACGGTGTACTGACGAATTTGCATTGAAAAACTGTAAAGTCAATTTCGCGATGTCAGCCCCTGTGTATAAAACGTCTTAAATTATTCAGTTTATGAGCGTGCTGTTTTCATAAAGCGAAAACAAACGAAAACTTAACTCGTCGAAAATAAACTCGAATAAAAAAATATTTTCCTTATTTCGTTCTTAATAACAGTTTTATTCATAGACAACGACACAAAGAAAGATTTGTTATTTTTACACGGATTAAGTATATTAGCTCGACCCGTATGCGACACTACTTGTGTATGGATGTAATGGAATTTTGTAATTCAGTTTTCTGAATAATCTGAAAATTTTTAGACGTGTGACAATACAATAATTTCATGACTATGACCTTGGTATAGTGTAATGTGAATTAAATTCACACCCAAAATCTGAAATGCGGTGGCTTAAAGATTGTAACGCGTCCATTTATTATAAGTTCATCATGAAATCGCCAATAATAACAACACGCACTTACTATTCAAGTAAAATTTTATACGATAGACTTCGTACCGTCGACATTGTTTTCATATTTTGTAAATTTACTTAAAACATTTCTAGCTTTGAACCTATTCCGTGAATATGTCAACATGTATACTTAACTAATTGTTCTTACATACGTTATGTATGTACAGTGTATATAATTTTTGTTGTGTATGGTGCTCTGGACAATCAGTGCTCTCGTGTGATACACACGAGGCTTACCCGATTCCCGTTGTTACCCGTAACTTGTTCCATTTTCGTTACAACTACCAAACACGTCTATAATCTTGGAGCAGTAACAGATGTATATGGCATAATCTTCGTCAGTTGACGAGGCGCCGCTCCGACGCCTGTTTGCGATATCTCCTTGAAATATAAAAACAGTAAATTTTTATTAGCGCGCGAAGCTTGGCATGAAAACGCCACAAAAGTGTGCTCACGTGCGTTTTAACTGTGTGCAACCCTAAATAGTTACCAGTTTCTAAGTGTTGTAAATAATTACAGAGGCTACATTGCTTTACAAAATATACTAGTTTAAGTTTTCAACGATAGAATATATTTATTTACCTAAAAGTGCATGTTTGATGAATTAGCTTAATACTTTACACCGGCGTCTAAACAACTTATCCTAAATACAGTGTCAATTATTAAAAGAACTTATTGTGCATTTCTCTAATTGTACATGTAAAAAATATGAATAATGACATCTGACACTGTGCTTTAATAGTGGTATTTGTAGGTATATTCGTTTGTTACTAACATTATTACTTAAAAAGTTTTTTATTAAATTGTTAACAGTTGGTACAGCCACTGTACATTAGCTGATGAGCAGTAAATAAAGTAGCATATATATATATATATATATATATATATGTGTGTGTGTGTGTATAAATACTGCCCATCAACAAAAAAAAAAAACAAAAATTAAACAAAATTATAAGGAAAACTTGATGACACGTGCACATTATCACGTATATATCCAAGCGTATTTAGGTACTTTCTTTTCACCAGTATTTCCTTATATCCTCATTGTTAAACTCGCTTATTATAGAGAATATCCGAAACCAGTGTCACGAGCTCAGGCTCAACGCGGTGGCGTTGCGTGAGAACCAGCTTTTACGTGATAGCTTGTAATACAAAAATAATTATATATTCATATTGCTCTTTGGCCTAGATAATAAATATGTTATTTTTGGTTGTCAGATTTATTCTTTAAAAAAATTATTCTGGAATCGATCCTTTTATATATATATATATATATATATATATATATATATATATATATATATATATATATATATAACAATAGAGGCTACGTCACGCAAAGTTAATAATAAATAACCTAAGCAGAACTAAATTCTCATTTAAATTCAAAAAAATTATACCTACGCTATTCATAAATAAATATTTATTAGTATATTATATAAATAAATATTTATTTATGAATCTTCTCGTCAGGTATACCTCAAACTCTGAAAACTAGATTGTACAACCAGTGCGTGTTGCCAGTGATGACTTACGAATCTGAGACGTGGTCCTTCACTGCTGGCCGTATGAGGATGCTCAAGGTCGCTCAGCGAGCTATGGAGAGGGCTATGCTAGGAGTTTCTCTGCGTGATAGACTCAGAAATGAGCATATCCGTATATATATAATAATTTATATATTATAATAATTTAGTTCTGCTTAGTTTATTTATTGTCAACTTTCCGTGACGTATCCTCCATTGTAAAATTCTATTTTTATGGTTGCTGTTATTTTCTCAAATAATAAAAAATAAACAAAACAATTTGTGCTCAAGAAACTTTTTTCGGGTTGCTAAATTACATTTTGTTTTGTCTATAAGTTATTGGAAATATATTTTTGTCAAAATAAAATAAAAAGGACTAAATATATATATATATATATATATATATATATATATATATATATATATATATATAATGCTAATTACTTCCGTAGCTTAGTAGTCAATGCATTTATCTGGGCTCTGGAAACGATAACACACGAACAGTTTATGATTTTTAGAATTAGATTAACTACTTACGCAGTTAGACCACACTTCGGCAAACTTTTGACCTGGCGGAACTGTTATAGTCAGTTAATGACATGTCGAAATACTTCTTAAGCAATGGACTACTAGTCACTATAATAAATTAATTTTGATAACGTTAATATTAATAGCCTCAGATATTTGAAGAATTTCATGAAAAACTGGTTGGCTAGTGCCTACCATAATAACTAAGTAATTATTTCTTTTTTTTTCAATTTAATACAATAGTATCAATAACAGATACTATTTTATTTGGAACTTGGAATAAAAAATAAACCGCACAACACTTTTTCTTAGATAAGTTGACTGTATTATCTATCTAAAATTTTTGTAAAATTTTGACATTACCCCTTACTTACTTTAATTAAATTGACCATTGACAACCATATCCTATGTTTTTCTAAGATATCATGTGACTGCCTTGTTCATCTAGTTGTTATAAGCGCGACTGCTGATTATGAGCCCGGGTCGTACCAAAAACGGTTATTGAGTTTTTCCGTCAAGAAATTTTCAGTAGCTGCGCGGATATTGGAAGTTGTCGAAGCCCAAGCCTCGGAAAGCACGTGAAGCTGTTGGTGCTGCGTCAGATCTCTCTCCGGTTGAGTCGGTTTACCGACTCATCGGATTATGAGAGCGAGGGAAAAGAGAGTACAACTGTGGTGGCGCATACGCTTGAGCACTATAATCCTGTCCTGCCCCTATGACTGAGTCTCCGTTGAGGCTGGCCGCCGTGATATAAATTCAATCTAGAGGACATTACTATTATTATTATTATTAAAATGACATCCACCAGAAAGGTTATTCCCAACCATCAATATTTTGCGACATAAACACGCAACGAAATGCAGAATCGAAAGTGAAAAATGTATGAAAATCAAAGACATGACACATTTTCAGTACTGTTGAAATAATTAATAGTAATGTTACTCAAATCGTGTAACGTATGTTTCAATGTACAGAAACAAGGTAATTAAAAATAAATTCAAAGTTTGTCAAATTACTTTTGGACACACCTCATCTAAGTAACTAAATGAAGGACAAGTCTTTTAGCCTTTGTTTACCTACGCTTTTCAACCTTCGTGTTTAAATTATAGTAAAATAACCTTCAGTGATGACAAGGAGGAAGTAAAAGCTATAAGAATCGCTTACATTAGTTAAGTGCAATTGTCGTAATGGTCCAAAGTTCTTAGATAAAGCCAGTGATAAAGCAGTGGATTTATCACTTGATTACTGTATGATGTAATTTATGTTCTGTACAATTAGGCCAAAATGTTTCCGATTAAAGTGACTAAGGTAACTAAAGCTTAGGGATTCGTTAGACTACGTTCATTACCGCAATTATCAAGATTATGATATGACGTCAATGTATTATTACCTGTGTTTCTTTATATGGTTACTTAGCAGACGCAAACCGTCTAATATGCAAACAACATACGCAAACAGTCATGCCTCCACGCACCAGGACGGTCTTCGGCGCCAACTCCACAATCCCTCGTTTATGTAAATTATATAATAATTTCAGTCAGTTAATTGACATCAACATTAATTCGCCTAACACCTTTCGTAAATTAATTATCAATAGCCTAGTCAGCCAGTCATCCTGAGTGTGATTTTTTTTCTCATATTAATTATTACGTATATCTTCTCTTTTAAATTCTAATAATATATATTTAGTTGGGCTAGATTATGATAGTTGTTAAATTAAGTTGTAATTTTAATTGAAAGACAAATTATTAGTTTGATTAAATCTCTTTTGTTGTTTAAATTGATAAGGTTTTACATGCTTTTACCAAAATTACTATTGTGTTTTTTAGTCTGTTTCTGATTTTGTTTTCTTTTTCTGTTAGTAACTTATTTCAGATTTATACACTAATACTAGCAAAAATAGCATGTAGTGTTTACCTTTAAATGATTTTACATACTCTGTGCAAGTAATATAGTAATTATACTTTAAGAAATGTATGTAACGTATGTATTGTAAAATCGCTGGTAGACCCAATAAATAAATAAATAAATAAATAATGTTACTGATAAAAAAAGAAATATAGCAATAATTATTTTATTTATTTTATACAGAATCCATTACAGTAGCTTTAAATATAATTAATAGGCCGGGGACCGAACTTATATAATAAGTTCCTTCATATTTCGTTTGTATAGAGTTGAAAAAAATCTCTTTTGGTGTATTGTTTGTATCTGGCTGGTTTTAATATCAATACTAAGAAAATGAAAAAGTAAAAAAACCCTTTTCCGCCATTTTTCAATCGTTTTTCTCTCCGCCAAAGTGAGTGAATCTAAAGAAGAAATTCGATATATTCTGAAGTTTTATTACAAAAAAGGGAAAAATGCCACTAAAACCGCGAAAAAAATTTGTGACGTCTATGGACCTAATGCAGTGTCAGTTAGACTACCTATCACAAAGTTGGTTCGTCCAGGTGTGTCCAGCTCGCCCCGTTCGCCCCCCTACGGATAAAGTCGATGCCATTTTGTAAAATTGGGGCAAGATCGGCATATTAGTAATTACGGCATAACCGAGGAATTGAGGATTTATCACAAAACAGTTTAGACCCATTTGAAAAAGTCTGGCTATACAAAAACGCTCGACATTTGGGTACCACAGGAGCTCACTGAAAAAAACCTTATGAGTCGTGTACCCATTTGCGATCTATATTGAAACGTAATGAAACCGAATCATTTTTGAAAAGATTGATCACTGGTGATGAAAAGTGATCATCAAAGATCATGGTCAAAAAGTATTCAAGCTTCACAGGCTATAGCGAAGCCCGGATTTAACACGCAATAACATGACGCTGTGTGTATGGTGGGATTGGTATAGCATCGACTTTGGTAGCGAGCATTGTTAGGGTATAGGGAGCGTTTCTCAATCTTTTTAAGATGAGAATCGGGAAAATCTTTTTAAGATTGAGAATCGTGAGAACGCCAGACCGGTCAGAACACGGTATGACGTTATAACGATTCTCAATTTTCTTCTCAATTATCTTTTGTCAGTCAGCAAAAATTGAGAGAGCTTGGGCATATGGTCCTGATCTAGCACCCCCAAATTTTCGTTCACCTGTTTCGGTCTCTTCAGAATTCTTTGGGTAGTGTTAGGTTAATATCAAGAGAGAACTATCAAGACTACTTGCAACTGTTTTTTTTTTAATCAAAAAATAAGATTTCTACAGCAACGGGATTATGTCACTATTTAGAAGGAAGTTATCGAACAAAATAGCACATATATTTTATAACTAAATGTAATTTAACTTGTTAAAAAATGTTTTGAATTCGTATATATAACACAAAGAAACTTTTTGCGAGACCTTATATATATATATATATATATATATATATATATATATATATATATATTATATGTATATGCGTACCTAGAAGTGGCGTAAATAATATATCAATAATGACCATCAAAAATGTAAAAAAAAAAGAAAGAAAACAATAAACCAAACACGCTGACGCAAGCGCCTATAAATGTTGCGATCTTAAAATTAATGTTCCCAACAAAGGCAATTAAAACGTACTTATCATGAAAAGACATATCGAGGTTTTACATAGACGTAAACCTAAAGCGAGTAGGTAAGTGAGTGATGAGTGTCGAGTGCTTCTGGCGTCACAGTATCTAGCGTCAGTGGAGTGAATATGACGTGAGCTGTGACCACTCTTGCCAAATGTGATTCAGCCGATATAAATCGAAGCTAGGACAGTACGTGGCACACTGTGTACCGAATCTCCGTGCAGCTACGTTGCTCGTGCGCACTGCGCACTATTCAATGTTTGTAAACGGTGTTCAACTTATCAGTTCACGGTTTGAAAACATTAGTTTGGACTGTCAAAGTAAGTATATTATATATTTTACGAGTATATACAATTTTATGTAATTTTAATAACGCCTCTTTCTATTATTTTAATTCAAGCGTAATAAAATTAATGTGATTAATGGAGGACATTTTATGTTTTATGGAATTAGTTTTTTGAAAATTGCAAAAATTTCTTTAATGTTTAATTGGGTTTTTATCTTTACAATATTCGATATATCGATTGATTACATGTAAAATAGACGATTATCTACATAATATGAAAAAAGTGTTTAAAATCATATAAACAAAAAAATGTAATACGGAATATTATAGAAAGAAAAAAGAGATATCATTAGAAATATGTTACGTTACATGATGAATAACAAGTCAATTCACAAGTAAAGTCAAGTCAATTAACAGTCAATTGCTTTGTCGTAGTCAACAGTGCTGTGCCTACTCGAAGAGTAATTCATCCTTTGGCAGAAATTGTTAAATGTTCCTTTAAGACACGTGCCGTTGAGACTTCTTTTTTTTCTACTGCTTTTACCTTTAGTCTTTTGACGGTGACTTTATTGAAAACTTAATATTAAACTAAAATATAACAAACGTATATTGTAAATCCCCTCAATATCAATGTTCATAAATTGTTTTTAATAAAACCACTGGTTTTATTAAAAACAAGGCTAGCTACTAGGCACAGCTAAATTCTCATATAATTTATGTAGCCACCTTTGCTTTTACGAAACTACGTAGAATTGACGCAAATGTCCGTTATAAACATGTATTTATTTCTGATCCAGGAAACATGCAGCCAATACCCGAAAGACCGCCGATTTGCCCGAAAACCCAGCTACCTCATTTACATCTGACACCTTCTGATGCCGGTCAAAAGAAGACTGACGGAAGCCCACTAGGAACAGATAATCCGTGGCTTCTTAAGCCTCAGCATGATATTCCCGCGACGCCTCCCCCACAGAAAAATCAACAGTCCGTCAACTTCTTCCAGCAAAGAATAGGATAACTCTTAGTTCTATGCTCTATGAAAGATGTTGAAATAACTTTGTAATGGCAAAGTGCCATCTTGTCGGAAATCGGAGTTTTTGTATAAAAATACTTTACAAAAAAGCAAATACATTAATCGTTGGAGGTGAATCGACATGAGACTTTTAGCCAAATCTGAGCCAAATGCCATAAGACGAGTGAGACTGTAAAGTGCTGTCGTACGGGTATTGTTTTTAGCTTCGTGAGATGAGTTTTTTGGGATTACAAGAATGAACTTTCTACAATATAGGATAATTTTTAAGACTTACTAACACATTATAATTACATATTGCAAACATTATACACATATTGTATTTTATGTCGATTTTTAATTGTTATTGAATAGTTTTGTTGAACATTAAACTGTTATCGGTCTTAACATTTATTTTACATGGTAAAACTATAGCTGAACGACATAAAGGGTTTTTCAACAAGAACTTTGTTTTCTAAAACAAAATAAAACAAAGAGTTTAGATGAAGATGATTCAAATTTTTATTGTATTACGAAGAGAAAAGTTTGGCAATTATGAATGAAAAATGATATCTGGCAAATGTCCACCACGACCACGCTGACAGATGTCGATTCTTTCATCAAAGTTTTTAATCACTTTTTGGCAAAATGGCGGGTCTATTTCGTTAATCACGTCACGGATTTTGAGTTTTAAGGCCGCGATCGATTCGATTGGCTCCGTATAGACTCTGCCCTTAACATAGCCCCACAAAAAATAATCCAGTGGTGTTAAATCACACGATCTGGCTGGCCATTTAACAGCTGAATTTCGTGAAATTATGCGATCGGGAAATTTGGTTTGCAATAAATTGATCGTTTCGTTGGCTGTGTGACATGTGGCACCGTCCTGTTGAAACCACATGTTTGTGATATCGATGTCATCAATAATAGGCCAAAATTGAGATGTTAACATCTCGCGATAGCGTGATCCATTGACCGTTACCGCATTTCCAGCCTCATCTTCGAAAAAAAAAACGGCCCAATCACGCCTCCAGACCACATAGCGCACCATACAGTGACACGTTGAGCATGCAAAGGCTTCTCAATAATCGCTTTAGGATTTTCAGAAGTCCAAATGCGGCAATTTTGCTTGTTGACGTACCCTGACAAGTGAAAATGGGCTTCGTCTGAAAAAATGATTTTTTCAGAAAAACCAGCGGGCTGTTCCTGAATGAATTGAGTGAATCTACGGCGATATGAATGGTCGGTCAGCTTCAATTCCTGCACCAGTTGAACCTTGTAAGGCTTCAAAGCCAAATCCTTACGCAAAATTCGCCATGTGGTGGTTTTGGATAACCCCAATTGTTGAGAACGTCGAGGAATTGACAAATTTGGATCTTCTTCAACACTGTGGCTCACGGCTGCGATGTTTTCGATTGAACGACCCGGTCGAACACGCGTTGGTGTTGGCACATTTTGTACCGAGCCTGTCGATTCAAATTTAGCGACCAAATTCTTAATAGCGGTCTCAGAAGGACGGTTATGTTGTCCGAAAATATCACGAATTTTACGAAACGTAACTTTAACAGAACCACCATTTTCATAGTGGATTTTAATTATTTTAATGCGATTTTCGAGCGAAATTGAATTCATTGTAGCAATTGCCAAAGCATCTAATACGAATAGGTCAAAAAACTAAATGTCAAAACTGTCATGTTGTTGGTGTTGCCCCAATTGAAAAACAAAGTTCTTGTTGAAAAACCCTTTAGGAACATATTTTTGTTCATGGATGGGATATAATTTAAGACAGGTTGTGTTTTTTTTTAATTTCGTCGGGAATGCATTCACTTAAAATATTCCGATCTCTTCGTCTTCTTCTCTTAGTCGAGTTCTTATTTATTGAGATCTTCATACGATTTCACAAGATACCGACAGACTTAGAAAATAAGATAATGTACCATCAAAATGAAAGTTATCAAGAAGGTTAGAATATAACATACCAAAATAAAATAAAATAAATCGTTATGAATAGCAGAAAATTATGTGTTATTTTATGATCTCATTAGTAGATAGATACTACTATACGACTATAAGAAATTTTATTATGTTTCATTTCCAAAATGCTTTCAGTATAATTGTTTGTTGTCCTCAATAAATTTAGCATAAAAAGGTTATTTTGAAAATAACTGTGCAGAAATAATATGGTAAATTACTTATATGGTAAATAATTGTACCTACCAACCATTTAAAATACTAAATATCTCCCGCGTACGAGTATAATATAGTTGGCAGTGAGAAATGGCTTGAGATAAGAACGAAAGTTGTCCGCTTTTTAAACGATACTCCCAATAAAGGAACCCCTTGTTGTAACGCGGTCGTTTTACATAAGGTGCAAACCAACATTTTTTAGATCCATAAAAAACAATTGTAGATCATAGAATAGCGAAACACTAATCACAGATTAGAACAAAAAGGTTATTATTGTCATAGATGTATTAGAGCCTATAGCCTTTTATTCCACCCTACTCAAAATGATTGATCTCATACCTTAACGAAAATTTTGAAAGTACTAGGCTCTAGGACACCAGGTTCAGGTGTGCCGGGAGTTTTCAAAGGCATCAAGGCTAGTTCAAGTTCATCCTAGAGTGTGATTGGCGGATTGGCGCCTTATCTAATGTAAGTTATACGCGATTGTTGTTGTTACTTGCAAAAAAGAAAACACAACCCCCGCTTCTCTTTCCGTTCCTACGTTCGTATGTCAGTTCAGCGTAGATAAAATACACTATATGTAATGTATAATAAAAAACAAAAAAATATATACGTGGTAGAGATATGCTCCAGCTATATTAGTAGTATAGTGTAGCACGAATGGGTCAGCTCGACCGGGGAAGGATCACGCTCTCACAGTATACCAGCGTAAAATAGAACATTTTACATTTCTCTGCTGACAAAAAAATAAATACTATGCTAACCCTGTAAATAACACCCATTTTAGTCCCCCAAAATGCCATTTTGCTATTCCGGTATCTATCATTCCCTAGTCAAGAATATTCTTATTAAGATTTGAAAACATCAATATGTTTATCAATAAAACCAACTTTGTACTGAAAAACTGTAACTATATATAATAAACACTGTAAATAACATACAATAGATACTGTAAAATTTACTGGAATATACTCTAACTATGAAGATTTTCAGTAGTTTTAATGTTTACCTCACACGAAAAAATCTAGTCGATTTATCGTTTGGATCGTTTTATTTTTGCATTACGACAGCAAATTTGAAGTAAGATTGCTGACGTAGGTCGCTAACTTTATTTATCACAAATGTTAACACATTTGAAATGTTTACATGTTGTTAAATGAGTCGATACAAAAATAAAAGTTCAAAAGTAAGAGACTGCCGTTTTCAATTATTAGCAAACATTAATATATTTCCATATCGTGTAAAATATAATCAAAGGCCTGTGTTATGATATACATCTTTCTTCCTAGCCTATTTTCTAGTAGCGAGCATTTGCCACCACTCGCCGCCACGCATAACAATCAAACTGATTTTGGCGAGCTTTGCCACCACTCCCACCATAACAATCAAACTGGAGATTGTAACGCTCCAACTGATAGTTTATACCTGACTATATACGAGATTGCTTCATTATCCTACCTATCCCATCTATCAGATGCTAAAAGATTTTCCGAGAATTTTCTTTAGTAGTCTCTTAGGACATCCACAGCACAAGATATGATGATGGGATTATCTTGCGCCCCACATCACGCCACGGTATTAAAATTACCATCGCATAATATTTATTATTATTTTGAGTCATTTACACTGTGTGACTACTTAAAAATCTTGAGCGAAGGACAATTAGTAAATCAAAGACTTTGTTTTCATTTTTACGGACATTTTGCAAACACAAAATTGTATATAGAAGTAAAGTAAAGTAAGATCTTTCTGCATGATCGGTTAATCGTGAACCGAGCCATTCGGCGTGGTGGACGTTAAAATCGGCAAGAATCACCATCTCTGCGGATGGGATCTGCTGTAGCACGGAATCTGTAGTCATTTGGACGTGGTCGAGCAGTACAGACCAGTCTGTTTCGGCCTTACCGCTATGGGACCGATAGAGGCACCTGTAAACGCGGGGATGGTTGTCGTTGTCTACGCGCAGCGATTGGATGGACATCCCACTGCTGGGCACTAGCCTCCTCTCACTTCTTAGAGGGTTTTAGGGAAAGAAAGTGTCCGCCGCGCTGTCCCAATGCGTGTTGGCGTTGGCGGACTTCACATTCAACATGTCTTCGAAATATATATTTTTTTATTTCTCAGATATGTAGGTTTCCTCACGATATTTTCTTTCACGGTGGAGCACGTAGTAAATCACCACTTAAAATTGCAATTAACAATTTCATTGGTGCGGGATCGAAGTAGGGTTGCTCGCATAGTTTCCACAGCTTTATATACTGGATGAACTTTTTACCGTCTGGAAAAAAATATGGTATAACATGTGAACGGAGTAGAAGACTATACCACTGATATTTTACAAAAAATGAAGACAAAATTGTTTTAATTAAATAAATAAAAATAAATAAACTAATTAAAATCTATCGAAATTCAAATCATTTCTAACCTATTTTACGAACGGCAATAAAACAATAAATTTAATAGGCATCCTCCTTGTCACTTTGTAGGGTCACAGGCTCAAGGGCAAAGGGGCAAAAGTTCAAAAATTTTAACTACTCCGTTCACATGTCACATCCTTATTTTTCCATAGGGTAAAAAAGTCATCCACTGTAAATGTACACAAAAATATATAATTAATTATAAAAAAACGAGTGATATACATTCTATAAATACTAAAAACAAACAGGAGCTAGTAGTGGGTACCAAAACTCGGCTCCACAGAGTCAGTCTTGGGGCAATGTCCATCCAAAATCCATCAAATCCATCCACTTAAGCAAATAAATCCCAGAATATAAAGTTTATCCACGGCCAAGTTTAAGAATTTCCTTACAAAAGTAATGACCTCTGGGAATGATGTGATCGCAACCAAACTATTTCTAGGATTCGAATAGTTAATAGTGCAACAACGTAATACTAAATTGTAAGCTGTTCTTTTTTATAGAAAAAAGTCCTGCTGGGTTTTTTGCTGGTTCTTAACAGTACAGAAAAGTATTCTCCGAACAAGTGGTAAATTATGACTCACTCTCATTAATCAATAAGTTTTATTTATAATTCATCTTGAATAAAAAAAATCTATTTATATTTCATTACATAGACCAAAAGCTGTCAACAGTGCAAAATAATTAAGTATAATTCACGCATCTTCACCTATCGATTGCAAGTACAAAACAGACCAGAAAAGGCATGATTAACTTGTAACTTGTACCTACCTAAATAACTTAATATAATATTTATATAGATATTTGTAACTCATATTTGCGACGTACTCCTAAACTGAGTGATGTAGTAGCTGTATACTTTCTGTGATTTCAATAATTAACCAAAGAGTACTTACATAACCATTTAGTTTTATCTAGCGTAAACGTAGTCCTAGGTTTTATATTATATTATATTTACGATTTTATCATTAACCTTTATTTATACGTCGTTTTAATTTTAATATCTGTTCCAATATACGAAAAATATATGTAATAAATTTGCCATCAGTGACTCAGACTCAGATGTCTTTGCATGACTCAGAGTATATTACGAACTCGCACTCGACTCCAAAGCATAGTGGGCAGTGATTGTAATGAATTATAGTTTTATATTTTATTTATATAATGAATAGTTTATTTTTAAATAAGGAATGAAATATTAACGGGGCTAATTTAATAACCTTTTTCAAGATACCACTATTATACGGGGATAAATTACATTAATGTATGTTTGAAATTTAATGTAATTAAAAAATGACTTACTAACGGTTACATAACGTAAATAATAAAATAATAATCTTGAGTCAAAATACGTCGTAGGTGACAGTCATATGAGAGCGGAACTGTCGGAAACTCTATGCGGCAATATTACCTCACTTCAAATATAACAACCAAACAATTAGGGACAAAGTATTTTCTCGAATGAAGCTCAATGAAGGATATTTTTCTTTATATTTTTTCGGATGGAATAGATCAAATTTTAACACACTTCAGAAACGTTTATTGACGCGTTAACAATACATAAATAATTATTAATATCAATATTAGTTTTTCTTTATGTAAGCTATAAACAATTTCTGTAAATGTCTTACTGACGAAAAAGAATCAATTAAATTACCCTTAAGTCAACAAAGTATCGCCCTGCTCACCATAATACGTTACTAATAGTTTTTAGTTTACTAGCAAGGTGGATCGATATACTGAACGGGTAAGCCGTATTAGACCAAAAGAAATATGCTTGATCGAGTTAGAAATGAGCCTAATAGATATTACTGAGCATTTTTGTTTTAAGGGTGGAGGTGAACCTAATAATACTTAGAAGTATGTATCAGAGTGAACGCTAAGGATGACAATGACGTGATAAGTGTTTCGTACGATCGATGTTTGTGATACAATTGTTTTATAATTGGACTATTTACTGCCAGCGGCGTAATGGATGTCGAAATTGAATTACTACAATATTCAGAGTGCGCTCTTCAAAGCGTTGCAGTGCCGATTGTTTTGATAAATAATAATGGCTTACCTCGATAACGATGTGCGATTGCCACTTGTTATATTAAAATGCAGCTTTAATACTTAGTATAGGTGTATATTTAGAACAAGGGATGGTCACCCGCTGATTCTAGCGCCGGCGAAACCTGATGTGCCGTGATACGTAGCGGGCTCTATCGGTCGCTGAAGTATGTAAAGACTATCTAATAATCCAGATACGGCATATTCGAATATAGTGCGTTATATTTACTTTGTGTCACATTTATAAATATTTTATTTGCGTTGCTTCGAATTTCTTTTTATTCTATAAATATTCTTTTTTAAATATATTTTTTTTGATTTAGCATTTTTTTTATAGAAGAGGGGGCTAACGAGCATACGGTTCACCTGATGTAATGATGTGACTACCGCAGCTCATGAACAACCGCAGCACCAGGGGAATTGCAGGTACGTTGCCTGCAATTTCCCTGGTGTTATCAAATCTTTATATAGAATAAGGGTGATAAACGAGCATACAGTCCTCCTGATGTTAAGTGGATGCTGTGGCTCATAGACATCTACATTTATCTTCAAAATACGGATGCGTTGCCGCCCCTGAGGACTAAGATGGAATGCCTCATTTCTAATGAAAAGAGTCTCCAGTTCTCTACACTCACCGTATGAAACACAGGACCATTAATAAGCTACTATTTTACGCCGGCATTCTGTGAGAGCGCTTGAAATGACCCATGCTACATCTGCGCCCTCTTTTCCCAAAAGAGGGTCGCTTCCGATACGGCATAAGAAGCTTAAACAGCCAGTTGCCAGTCCCCAAAGGCGGTTTTTAGAGGGTATCACTTAGGTTCCCCCCGGTAGGCAGTGAGTCCCTCATAACCACGATAGACCGGCTATCGTGCTATGCGTAATCATTCCGAAAAGCCCTTTCCAATTGCTTCGGACGCAAAAAACCCATACTACAACCACCATATAGCTGCAGCGTGGCTCTACCACGTACGACTTAAATTGTTCCACGTATGACAATTATTCCACGTTAATTGTACCTTATCAGATGTATGAGTAATTTGTGTTTTGTTATATGAAATGGATGTACTACATTATTTATTATATTTGAAAATACTTTAAAATCTGTGTCTGTTCATTCATAGCCCTAAGCGAGGGTGCGTCCTGCGCCCTGAAAATGATGCGCGCGCATACACTACCGGGCATTTCCCTATGTCGAGATGTATAAGCCGCTTTCAATATAAACTACGTATAAAGAAAAATAACCTATTTTGCTTAGATTTATATGAAATTTGTTAAATATTACAATACAATTGTAAACTTGAAAATTTAAAAGCTTTTATAAACGTTTAATATAACTTATAAATTACAAATATAAAATTAAGTATTGCTTTCTCTTTTGTGTTACAAGTGTTACAGTTACATTCATACAAATCATCACAATCTTAAATTTAACATTTATTAAAATAAAGTAGTAACATTGAGATGAATCAAACCATAACTTGTTATGATACGTATAAAAATTACGTTTAAATTTGAACTGTTGACATTTTATTTAAAATATTCCAACCTTCCGTCGAAGACGTAGTTGTACCTGTAAAAAGTAAAAAAAAATTATGAGCAACAACTTAATATATTGAATTCTTAAACACACAATTTTCACAAATGCGTCTAAGCGTTCCTACTTTACGAGTATAAACATCTTAAGTTCAAACACCAGCCCAATCAAAACTGCATGCATTGGTTAACGAATATTTCCCGATACTGCCACGGATTAACTAATGGTTACTATGTAAATACTGCAGACACTCCCAGACGTGCGATCATATCAAGTGATGAGACAAAACTTAAGGTGATACCTCGAAAATTTGGTGGTTTTTCTATTTAACATAATTTTTTAAGTTTTATAGATTACAAATCAAAATTTTGGTATATGATATTTGACTATATGACCTTAGATTGCATAAAAGGAAAACAAGATATCATAGAATTTTCTCGATAGGAAAAAATTGCAAAGTAGGCTCTAATTATTTACATTTCTCGATGACACCACAATATTCTTACGAATAATTTCATGGAATTATTTTTAAGGCATAGTAAATAATCATATCTAAGTTTTCATAAACTAATTTTTTAATCCATAACGTAGTTTTGTTACAAAAAATAAAAATGTTGTTTGGCGCTTACTTAGTTTTTGCCGAGCGTGTGCCCGGTATAGCTATCTCATAATTTGCGTACTATGAAGTCATTGCATCACTTTCATTTAGACACTTCCGCAAAGTTGTTCAAAACAACTATAAATCAATAGCACGCTACAGACTATAAACTATAAATTTCTAGCGCGCTATTAAATACGCTGTGATATAGCGCGCGTGTGGGAGTCCGGCAAGCGCGTTAAGTTTTGCAGCACGCTATATCTCGTAGCACGTTACAATACATGCCGTTCCTTGGACAGACCGCGTGCTATATAAGAACATTATTTCTTATTAAGTCACATTTTAGACTAAAATAAAGCGGTAAAGAAAAACGAATGAACGCTTTCTCATATTTTTCAGGCTTATTACGACTTTCTATAATCCTAAAAATATTTTTAAGGCATGTACTTTTTAAAACGAAATAATATTAATTATTTTGTATTATAACTGATGTAAGGCCTCGTCCGCACAGCAAATATTCACCGCGCGGTTTTTTTTCGCAATTCTGTAACACATTCAATACAATAGGAGTAGCCGCACTGGCGGTATAAAATTCGCGCGAAAAAAATCCCCAAAAATCTGTGTTTTGATGCAAATTTTAGGCCTCGTCCGCACAGTGAATATTCACCGCGCGATTTTTTTGCGCAATTCTGTAACACTTTCAATACAATAGGAGTAGCCGCACTGGCGGTATAAAATTTGCGCGAAAAAAATCCCCAAAAATCTGTGTTTTGATGCAAATTTTACTCGATGCAGTGCGGATTTATTTCCGCACGAATGTTTTGTGCAGTATGAAGTAGTATGACTATGGCCGCACTGCGAAATAAAATTCGCAGGTTTCGCTCGTCAGTCGTGCACTGACAATGCTGCTGACAAGATGTCGCGCGCATCTCCCGTCCGATCGGCAGGCGCGCAGGAGCTACCAGAAGATGACAACATTGATATAGAGCAATTAATCGCACTGATGCACAAGAGACCTGCTCTATGGGACAAATTTGACCCAAAGTACCACGACAGAATATTGAAAGCGAGATTGTGGGAGGAAATATATCAACAGATATATTTTACTTGGGAACAATATAGTGTTGGTGAAAGAAAGCAAAAAGGTAAGTAAAGTAAAATAGCACGAATGGGTCGGCTCGATCGGAGAAGGGACACACTCACAGTATACCAGTGTAAAATAGAAGCTTAACGCTGTTGTATTTCGTATGACGAATGTTTATAATAATATTATTACAATAAGTTTACAAGTTGACAATAATTATTGTAGGTAGGTATTTCTTGTTGGTCTATGTGTAGTTTATGTGGGACGGGAGTCGAATAAAACCAGGATTTCTTCAGATATCTTCTGTATTGCCAAAAATTATCTTTGCACATTCATTTAGAACACGTTTAAAACAGATCCGCCATTGTCTAGAACCATAGAGTAGATACAGTTTTTTTTTATTTCTGGTTTGTTCTTTTTTAATTAGCCCACACCTATGGTCTAATCTTACAGTTAAGTATATGATTATTTATATTTTATCATACTGCCACGAAATTGACCCTTTCAATGAATCAAAACATTCTGCAAAATTTTGTCTATTTTCAATGCTGGATATTCTAAATCTCACTGGAGTAGGGCGTAAACTGTGCAACTTGGTACCATACAGTTCGTCTTCAAAGCTAATCCCACCATGTTTCCGTACGTAATTATGTAAAATGCAACATGCTTTAATTATTTGGTCACAAGTTGTTAGTTTTACATTTAAAGCTCGATGTAAAATTCTCCATTTACTTGTAAGTATGCCAAATGTGCATTCTACAAATCTTCTTGCTAATGTGAGTCTGCAATTAAAAACTATTTGAGTTATAGATAGGTTTCTTCTCGAGTATGGGCGCATTATGTGTTCTGAGAGAGCGAACGCTTCATCTCCAACAAAGACATAAGGCATTTATTCCCCGTTTTCGTCTTTTGGCAGGTGGCTTGGTGAAGGAAGCATTAACTGACCACCTTCAAGCTTCTTACCAAATGCAGAATTTTTGAAAACGGTAGAGTCGCTGCTGCTACCGTAAGCTCCTATGTCAACACTGATGAAATAATAATTAACATCAGCTACCGCCATTAAAACTAAGGAATGATATTGTTTATAATTATAAAATTCAGAACCCGCGCAGTTAGGCTTTTCGCACTTTATATGCTGTCCATCCACCGCTCCCAAGCAGTGTGGAAAATGGGTTCTTTTATAGAAAAGTTCAGCAGTTTGGCACCAAGTTGTTTCGTTTGGTTCTGGCATTTATAAAGGTTGTAAACATGACCATAATTTCTCGCACGTCTCTTCTATAATTTCGCCAATTTTAGAAAATAAAAAATATGATGCCAATAAAATATTCGAAATATGATGCCAATAAAATATTCAAAATATAGTAATATTAGCTATTTCCTGAAGCCAAGTGTACCTGCAACAATCATAAAAAAATATGTAACACCAATAATATAAAATGTAAATAGACAAATCATACCTACAATACAGTAAATTATTTAATAAAACAGTTATGTTCATTTACAGGAGCTGATGTGCAAAAAAAAAATGGAAAAATCTCAAGGATACATACTTCAAGGAGGTAGCAGCTGATAAAAAGGTGGTGTCGGGTCAAGCCAAAAAGAAAAAGAAAAGACCTTACATACACATGGGAGCACTTTCATTTTTATGCACTCAAAAATCTCTGAGAGATGCGACAAATAATGTTATATACACAGAAAATAGTACAAGTAATCCCGAAGACCTTACTAATCAATCCGGCGAAGACACTGACTCAGAAATTACACAAAATAAAAGACTGAAAGCGAGCATGCGTAAAAAAGAGTAAAAATCTGAATAACAGCGATGATGAGTTATTGAAACTATTGCAGGAAAAAATATGATGAAGATGTTCATTCTGTGAAATGCTCATCCCGATGTTAAAAAAATCTATCAATAGACCAGAAACACTATGCCAAAATTGAAATCCTGAATGCACTTAACAGAGCAACAAAATATTCACCACCTACACAAAATGTTATGCCACCTAGATTTCGTCAGTCATCATCATCGCATTCATCATACAATCCGAACACGCCATCACCGTATCCAAATACGCCATCAACGTAAACCATCACCCTATCCTATATATGCTAAATCTCCGCCTGATCCGTCTCCTCAAACTCAGTATACGCCATCTCGTAATCCATCTAACATTCCTCAATCTCCGCCTGATCAGTCTCCTCAAACTCAGTACACACCATCTCGTAATCCATCTAACATTCCTCAATCTCAGCCTGATCCGTCTCCTCAAACTCAGTACACACCATCTCGTAATCCATCTAACATTCCTCGATCTCAGCCTGATCCGTCTCCACAAAATGAGTTCACGCCATCTCGTAATCCATCTATCATTCCTCAATTTCCACTTGATCCGGCTACACAAACTCAATTCACTCCATCTCGTAATCCATCTATCATTCCTCAATTTCCACTTGATCCAGCTACACAAACTCAATTCACTCCATCTCGTAATCCATCTATCATTCCTCAATTTTCACTTGATCCGGCTACACAAACTCAATTCACTTCATCTCGTAATCCATCTATCATTCCTCAATTTCTATTTGATCCGGCTACACAAACTCAATTCACTCCATCTCGTAATCCATCTATCATTCCTCAATTTCCACTTGATCCGGCTACACAAACTCAATTCACTCCATCTCGTAATCCACCTATCATTCCTCAATTTCCACTTGATCCGGCTACACAAACTCAATACATTCCACCTCGTAATCCATCTATCATTCCTCAATTTCCACTTGATCCGACTACACAAACTCAATTCACTCCATCTATCATTCCTCAATCTCCACCTTATCCGTCTCAGCAAACTCAGTACACGCCATCCCGTAAATCTAATGTCATTCTTCAATTACAGCTTGATCCGTCTCCTCAAGACCAATACACACTGTCTATCAGTTTAAATTTTCCAAATACTTCATTTAATCATTCTTCGTACGTAGTAGAGGGGAGTGGTTTTGACATGAAAGATTTTATTTTATTTAAATAGAAGTTAATTACTTTAATAAATGATTCTGTAAGATTAATCCTACTTTTTTATTTACCATTATTTTTTGAGTAGTGAAGATCGATAATAAGGTGCACTTTGATAAGACCACGTTGCTTTATTTTAATACGATCGATTTTCATGAAATGTTTAGATATAACTTACTTGTGGTGCATACCTCTACCTAAATAAAAGAAAAATCTATAAAAAAAAGTAGAAAATATAAAGTACAATGCCAATTCTAATGAATAGAATAAAATTCTCGCGGTGAATATTCGCTGTGCGGACAAGGCCTAAACGTTATTTTAACCTTAATATAAATTATAAATCAAATAACGGCGTATTTAAAATTTTATTGATTGTATTTATAAAAATCAACTATATACACTTTTGTATCTATATTTTATTTACATTTAAAAACATAAGTTAGGCTTCTTTTATAGCAGACAACTGTGTCCTTCGATCACTTATAATTATACAGTATACACTAACTAAACAACGTCTAACACTAAATTAAGTCGCGCGTGATGAATAGCGTGCTACTAGATCAAATTTGTATCACACGTCCTCTCCCAACAGCACTGCTGCTAGAACTGGTTGCCGCTAGATATTAATACTTAATAGCATCAAAGCGCTATAGCGCAATAGCGCCATGGCGACTACTTACATAGCACGCGCTTTGTGTTATGGAGAGATAGCGCGCTATAATATGGCGCTATGCGCTATATTAACCACCATTACACCCCCGCAGTCGTCCGTTAGCTTCACCGACAAAGGAATAAGCCACGCCCCCAAAACTGCGATTCATTTTCAAGGTATCCTCTTAAAGGTTTAGCACGATGAATTTTGAGAAAAGAAAGTTACAAGTTATATGTTCCACAGACGGGCACAGGCCACCTCTTCTTTCACAGAGGCTGCTCAAAATACTTCATTTCTCAGACATGCAGATTTCCTCATGATGTGATTCCTCTTTTTTACCTTCGAACACATGGCAAATTGACACTTGAAATTGCAATTACAAAGAGCGCTCAGCTCTTGAGCTAACACGGCTCTATTAAAGTATATAATTCGCATTAGACAACAACAGTATGGGAGCCAGATATGAAATAGATGTCAGGCTGTATCTTAGGTATTATTGCGTAAATCGAGATATAGCGACATTTAAATTGATTTACCTATTCAGCTGTTTAAACAACAAATTCTGTGAGGAACTTTCCTGAAGAAATATCGTCATGACAAACAAATTGAAATTCTTTTTACGACATACACATACAATATGTAAATAAGATTCCATCCGATCCTGCGAGAGTGCATTTAAGTTTTGTGGTATGGTTCATGTAGGATATATTCTTCAGTTAAAACAAACTACCCTGCAAAAACTTAAATAATATTTAATTAAATAGGTAAACTTCTTCGAAATGAGATTGCATTGTCTGTGTGTCCCTTTCGGATCGGACAGGGTTTATTTTTAACCGAATTCAAAAAGAAGGAGGTACTCAATTCGACTGAAGCTTTTTTATGCGTTTCCTCCGAACTTTTTCTAAGTGAACCGATTTGATGTTTTTTTATCATTTGAAAGCTGATGATTTTTCTGTGGTCCCATACAAATTTGATCAAGATCAGACCAGTAGTTCTTGAGTTATCCTTAATAATGCGTATTTAATTGACTTCGAAGGCACTGATGACGTTTTTATTTTAATATCAACCGACTTCAAAAAAGAAGGATTCCAATTCGACTGTATTTTTTTGTGTGTCACCTCAGAATTTTTTTCTTCGTTTAATGCTTTGCAAAAAAAGTTATGAACGAATATATTAGAAGAAGTGCGTTTATGATTACATTTAAAGGCATAAAAATATATGAAATCTTCAAGTGAGATATTTTCCATATTTTTTTTCATAAATCCACCATAAAAACGAAGATTTAAAAAAATCATCGAAATCGGATAATTTTTCGATTTTTTCGAGCCAAAAAACGAGGTGACTGCATCATCATCATCATTACAGCCCTTCACAAGTCCACTGCTGAACGTAGGCCTCCCCCAAGTAATGCCACAAAGCACGGTCCTGAGCCACCTACATCCATCGACTTCCTGCATGTCTTACCAGGTCGTCACTCCATCTAGTGGGGGGTCGCCCTACACTACGCCTACCGGTACGAGGGTGCCACTCGAGAACCTTTCTTTCCCATCGGTTATCGGTTCTTCGAGCTTTTTGGCCGGCCCATTGCCACTTCAGCTTACTAATCCGTCGGGCTATGTCGGTCACTCTGGTTTTACTGCGGATATCCTCATTTCTGAGTCTATCATGCAGAGAAACTCCGAGCATAGCCCTCTCCATAGCTCGCTGAGTGACCTTGAGCGTCCTCAATCCTCGTACGGCCAGCAGTGAAGGACCACGTCTCAGATCCGTAAGTCATCACTGGCAACACGCAGTGGTTGTACACTTTAGTTTTCAGAGATTGAGGTATACCTGACGAGAAGATGTGTCGTAATTTCCCGAACGCTGCCCAGCCGAGTTGAATCCGTCGATTGACCTCGATGGATGATTAAAGGCATAAAAATATATGAAATCTTCAAGTGAGATATTTTCCATATTTTTTTTCATAAATCCACCATAAAAACGAAGATTTAAAAAAAAAACATCGAAATTGGATAATTTTTCGATTTTTTGGAGCTAAAAAACGAGGTGACCGCGATAGTATAAAATTACCAAGAATTTTTGACTTTTAACATTTTGGCCCCTGACCGAAAAACCTCCAACGGCTCAAACTTAAATCACAAAAATTTCTCCCACCTCCAGAACGTACACTTTTTCAAAGTAGTGCGTTTCTAATGTCTAATAAAAAAGTAATTGATCATTTTGTTTCGGGCGCCAATTAACAATATTTACTTTTAAGCCATAATTTTAGTCTAGGTTCAGTTGGAAACCTGTTAGTGAATAAATACTTGTATATATATAGAGATCATATAATAAATAAATACTTGTATAATATGGAAGAAAACTAACAGTCAGCTTTTACTTTTTTTAAATTTAAAATTTCGTGCGTTAGCAATCGTGTAAGGACTCCGGTCAACTCGCGGCAGAGAGGTAGAGAGTAATAATTGTGTTCTGTGGCCGTCAATATCAAAAGGTTTAGGGGGCGAATTCGTCAAATCTGTCGACTTTTTTTTCGTCTTTTGAGTCCAAACCTTGTCATACTCAAAAGAACTAGGCTCTTCAAACTAATTAGGATACTTAAATATTAATTTGGGATTATATATAATGATGAGTGCATAAAAATGTTTAACTAAAAATTCAGTGTATAATTTTACATACTAATTTCTTCTATATTCAGAATTATTTCTCGTCGAGTGGTTTTACTTGAAAATATAATATTGTTATTTAATATTTACTTTAAAAACCAGTATAAGTAATAAAACAGTTATGTTCATGGTTCTATATGGACTAACGCAAACATATAAATCATGGGCATGCAACGTAACAAAAAATAAGATTATAACATAATATACTAATTGGGGTGTCCGAGGTTGTTCGTGTTACATATTGTGTATATATATAATACATATATATATATATATATATATATATATATATATATATATATATATATATATGATAAAAAAAAGCTCCTATGTTTTCTCAATAAAAGTTGATTAATAAATGCCTTATGTTGTAGCATTTGTGAACAATTAACTAGTATTTTGTATGTGTTAGAGTCACCCTGCAAAATGGAAATGCAGCACGAATATGTCAGTTCAGCAACGCACGACCAAAATACTGGCGTAAAAATTCAAGATTATGCTGTTGTGTTTCGTATGGAAATAATACTATGATAACCGAACTGGTGACGAGGTATTCCATCTTAGTTCTCTTTTTATTTTTAATCAAGTAAAGATATGTATGGTAGGTATATATGGACCACTGCATCCACTCATAATCAAGTTGACTATGTAGTACTTATCTATCACCCTTCTATAAAATAAATGTGAACGTATCAAACCCTTCCCAATAGGGAATTTTCAGGACAGCAGTGGATGCTTATGAAATACTAATAATAAAAATGATTAAATAATAATCGACCGCAGAAACGTCATGAAGATAGGTAGAAATTTGTCAGGGCTTAGCGATTAAATATTCAACCATGCCATCTAATAAAATGTCTCATACAGATCATATTAAAATAAAAAATAAAAAAACTATGAAATGGGATCCTAGTAGAGTAGAATCTAAAAATAAAGACATTTTATCTTTAACTGGACACATTTACGGAAAAATGTTTCCACCTACAAAAACTACTTTGAAAAGTTCTACATGTTAGTTCTATTTTATTCATGAATTTAAATTTTAATGGCATGTTTCGTTTTGTTTTTGACCTTGTTTTGCTTTTTTTTAACAAATGTGATGATCACTACTGATTATATTGAAACCATATCACCTAACATTCTATGTAATGTATCCCGAATTATCATTGTATATTATAATAGACATTCTCGCGTGGAATAAGATGACAAGTTCCACCAGAACGTGTAACTGAACGTCCTTGAAGATTACAAACGCGACTTGTCATATAGGGTTTCTATTATTTGTAGATATAAATTTAGGACACCATTATTGTGCTATGGTTTTATAGATGAGACGCAAGAAATCCTTAAAAGTACATAGTATTCTTATACTGGTTATTATTTACATTAGAATGTATTTAAATAACGGCCAATAATAGTCTAAGGAAGAAACCTTTATTATTTCCTTAAAATCCAAAACGTGATGTGTATGTGATGTGTGATGTGTGAAATAGTAGATAAAAAGTAGTAATATTAAAAAATTGTACAACCAATAGAAATAAAATGAGAACATCATCAATACATAATATATACGTGGTAGAGCCATGCTGCAGTTATATTAGTATAGTTATAGCACGAATGGGTCGGCTCGACCGGGGAAGGACCACGCTCTCACAGAATACTAGCGTAAAATAGTAGCTTTATGCTGCTGTGTTTCGTATG